ATTATTCATATAATGTTATAGTAAAATGTAACATCACATATATAACATACCATATACATATATATATATATATTTTGAGGATCACATTAGTATTTTTTTGTGAATACTCAAACTATTTATATAATACAAATATAAAACGTAGTATAATATGCTATATACAATATATTTATATGATGTAACATGTCATATATTAATATCATATGTCATATTAATACTATAAACATTATATTGTTGTATCTTATAACATGTTATATAGTATATAACATGCCATATATTAACATGGTATTGCCATGCATATATACATATCATATGTTATGGTATGCTACATAGCAATAAACTTAGTAATGTGTTTTGAATGTTGTTTATAACATGATGGATATGATATTACATGTTATATGGTGTATATCATGTTATATATTAGTGTGGTATACTATGTTATATAGCAAAATAACATATTTTTTGGTATATTAAGTTTTATTATAACATTATATTAATAGTTTGTGTAATATATGTCAATTTGTAAAATTTCAAATTGTAATATATGAAATTTTTTTTTTGATTTGTCTGCACATAGATTATGAGATGATTCAATTCTAATTATAAACATTAATGTTGTAAATATCAAATGGGAAAAACAAATTTAAGAATGAGAAATTAATTAAAAAACAAGAAAAAGGTCACATATGATTTATGGCAGGTTGTCAGTTCAACTCCAGAAAGGTATTTTCGTTAACATTTTGTTTCTCTTACCTATCCGAGCTAATTAAACATTGAGTGGTCTACCACCTTACATTTTGAATTGTAAGAGGGTATTGACCTTAATGACCCAATAATTTATGCAACTGACAAAATAACACTGTAAATATTTTAAAAGTATATCAAATCTGTTTAATAGAATGATAGTATATCTGTAATTTAAAAAATCAATGGAATAACGGAAATAGTGAGCTTTTGGTATATCTCCGATTGGTAAGATTGCGCGGAGCCATAGTGTTTTTTTCTTTGGGGATAATGCGGGTTGAATACATGCCGGTGTTGAGTTTATATGATCTATAAAACATTTATATAGATTCATGTATCTTTACATTGTTGGTTTGAAATCTTTGAAAGGTGGTGGTAGTGATAGGAAATTTTGCGAGTGGAGCCGATATTAGTAGAGACATAATGGGAGTGGCGAAAGAAGTCCATATCGCGTCTAGATCGAATCCATCCGAGACATACGAAAAGCGCCCTGGTTCCGACAATCTATGGCTTCACTCTATGGTAAATAATAAAGGAACAAATTGAAAGAAAGATTACATAGATCATAGAGAAATTCCATCATATACTTGAAGAGGGTTTGATTCAAATTTTTTCCCTTTTGATATAATTTTGTTTGCAGATAGAAAGCGCGCACGAAGATGGGTCGATTGTTTTCAAGAATGGTAAGGTTATAAAAGTTGATACCATTGTGCATTGCACTGGTTACATATATCACTTCCCGTTTCTCAACACCAATGGCTATGTTACCGTCGACGATAACTGTGTTGGACCGCTTTATAAACACGTTTTTCCGCCCGCATTTGCTCCCGGGCTTTCCTTCGTTGGTTTACCTTGGATGGTAAAGTCTCTCATTCATATCTACTTTCTTTTTGACGGATTTTTTCATTGCCGTACCAGATTCTATATTTTGAAATCAGGGATTGCAATTCTTTATGTTTGAGCTCCAAAGCAAGTGGGTGGCTGCAGTTTTGTCCGGTCGAGTCCCACTTCCTTCAGAAGAAAAAATGATGGAAGAGGTAACCGCTTTTTACGCAAAGCGTCAAGCTCAGGGGTTTCCCAAGAGATACGCGCATCGTCTTGGTAGGGATCAGGTTAGTTACCTCAATTGGATGGCCGAACAAGTTGGTGAACCGCCTCTCGAACTTTGGAGAGATAAGGAAGTAGACCGCGGCTATCAAAGACTTGCCACACAATCAGACACTTTCCGCGATAAGTGGGACGATGATAATCTCATGGTTGAGGCTTATGAGGATTTCTTGAGCCAGAAGCTGATCGATGCTCTTCCTTCTCAGATATTGGAATGTAAAAAATGATTAATGTTTCCTTCCACATATGGTTGACATGTTTGTCAGTGTGTTGTTGACATTAAGTCTCCACGTTTCTTTGAGTATAATAATGTGGTGAAATTTGGGAAGATTCCATAATAAAAGGTCCATAATTTGGAAACATTTTGACTATTGAAATTTGCTTCTGTTGCTTGACAAACACTTAATGATTTGATGTTTACTCTTAAACCATTTTCATAGTCTTTCACTCTTTTGTTTTTTTTACAAAACAAGGTTTTATACAGATTGAATCAAAGCCCCTAAGCATGTTGTACATTTTCTTTTTGACGCCATTTTCTCAACTCGCTTTCCACCACGCTCTTTGCGGCTTCTGCAGATTCTGCTGATTTTTTAGCCAAATCCGTCGCGTGTTTCATCTCCTCTATCGCTTTTAGGCTCGCTCCTAATTTATTATCCGCATCGGTTTTTCTTGCGTTGATCTCTTCTAGCTCGGCTGCTATACCTGCCAACTTCTTTTCGATTGCACTCTCTGTTTCCCCTGCTCCTCGTTTCAAAGATTCAAACTCTTGTACTGTGATTTTTATCTTTGAACCAGACGACTCGTCGTCATGTTTCTTGCTCTCTTGCTTTTGAGATATCGTCTTCATTTCCTCGCGAACTTTCTGTTCAGCCGCTTTCGCCTCTTCGACTTCTCTTGTAACAAGCTCTAGTCTCTTTTCAGCTTCCTCTGCAGCTATTATCGCAGCCTCGGTTTCTTTCTTCAGGCTTTCGATCTTTTTATTCATCTTTTCAGCTTCGTTTCTTGCTCCCACAGCTTCTAATTTCATTTGCTCCAGTTTCAAGCTCTCTTCCTTGAGAGCTTCCAGTTTTTTCGTTTCTTCGATCTCTAACCTCTCTGCTTCTTTCTGCTGTAATTCTTCGCGTTCTCTTCTCATGTCTTCAAGTTCTATCCTGAGAGAATTCACCAAGCTCCGGAGGGAGCATTCTTCATCAGCAGCTTCCTGTAGCCTCATCGTAGCCTCGTTAAGCTCATTCGTAATGATTTTAACACTGTTCATCTCTGATTCATGAGCTTTCTTCATCTCTTCTCGTAAAACCTCGATCTCTGAAGTTGTCTCTATCAGTTTGGCTTCAAGATCCCTTGAGAGCTCAGGCTCATGCTCTTGCCTCAAGACTAGCAGTTTCTTCTCTGCCTCCTCAACGGCCACTCTGTAACATTCTCGTAAATCGTCTTTCTCTTTCACAATATTGGCGTGCTCTTGCAAATTCTGAGCGGCCGCTAGCTTTAGCTGATGAATTGCATCTTTCATATCCGAAATCTCCTTGGAAAGTTCGTTAACCTTAACAGAGTTTACTTGGAGTGCACGTTGGGCTTCTGATGCTTGGTTTAAAGCCGTGGTTTTGAAGTCCATAGCGGAATCAAAGCTCTGTCTGATTTTGTTGAGTTGTTGCTTTGCAGCATCGAGTTCAATGGTGGTTGAGAGATATTGTTCTCTAGCAACATCGAGTTCATGGTGGTGTGGAGGAGAGCCATGGGACTTATCATGTTCGAGCTGTTCTTCGCGTTGTTGGACTGTTTCTTTGGTGTCAATAGCGGATTGCTTAGACTTGTTGACAGTTTCAAGCTTGTTGCTAAGATCCTCCATAGTCTTTTTCGCCTTTGAGAGATCGGAAAGGGCACGAGATCTAGTCGTCTCAGCATTGTCTAACTTTTGCTTGATCTTGAGGAATTCTTTGTGGACTAGCATTAGTTGTGTTTCTTTGTCGCAAACGCTCTAAAGACATTAAAAAAAAAAACAAAGGGTTTAGCTTTGAAATACAAACCCGTTCTAAACCTAAACTAGCCGGATATTCTTGCCATTTAAAACGTTTACAGTGGTCAACCATAAAACAATCCGTCTTTTTATCAAACTTTGATGAACGATGTTGTTGTTTTTGGATTAATTACCTCAGAGGAAAGACGAGATCTCCTTGGAGTACTTCTTTGCCTTGAGATGGCAACTTCTCCGAACAAGCTCACCGCGGCTTTCACCGATTGGAATGGTGCTCTCGTGTCTATCTCTCCGACCTCCGTCCTCGGAGATTCCGGACCTTTTTGTACTCTAATGTTCACCATTCTCTACTATCGTTTTCTCTACCCCCACCTACGCAACATTCTCAATGAATCAAAAACCGAAAAAAAACGCCATAATTCTCACATGATCATATCATATTCAAGCTGTTTTTGGTATCTAATCCGATAAAGAAGAAGCACTTGTACATAAACGATGCAAAATCTATGCAGATTGTATATAAATGATAAGAGGAGATGCAAATTCGAAGAAATTAGATGAAAGAAAAGGGAGACATTTTGGTTACCTTGAGT